CAGATTATTATCTTAAAGTGAAAACCCCGTTCCTGTCTTTCAACTGAGTGATCTGGTTCTAGCCCTTCTCAATCCCACCACACGATGGCCTAAATTTCTGAGCTAACTAAAACTCAATTGTCTATGAAGAATGATTCAAAACTAAGCGCGAGTTATCTCGATTTCAATAAATCTATAATCAAGATCAGGTGCACTGTTCTGATCAAACAAGATCAATAGCAGGGTCATGGTCAAACGAATGGCTTCATTGCAATTGGCTCTCGATGCTCTAGGTTTTTACAAATGGATATTTTAAGTTAACTTGTTTGTCAAAGGATGCAACCGTTACTAGCTTTTTATGATCATGCAAAAGATAAAACAAAATAAGACAGGGTCATTCTGTATTTCAAGAACCGGCACGTATCAAACAAATGTAAGATTAATACTTCGAACTGCTTGTAGCAGAATGATAAACAAACAGTCTAAAGACTTCCCTGGAACCTTAAACAGATAGCTTTTTTTTTAAAAAACAGATGAGCAAACCATTAAAATGTTTTTGCTACAGTGTTAAACGGATGCAAATTTTTTTAAACGGATGCAAATTTTTTTAAACGGATGCAAATTTTTTTAAACAGATGCAAATTTTTTTAAACAGATGCAAATTTTTTTAAACGGATGAGCAAACTGTTAAATGTTTTGTCAAAAGTGTTAAATGGATGCAAACTTTTTTAAAAGGATAAGAAAACCACTTAAACATTTTAGCTAAAGCGATAAGCAGATGCAAATTTTTTAAACAGATAAGCAACCGTTTAAACGCTTTCATGACCCATTTAAAGGAATTTAAACAGATAGTAAACAGTTTCACTGTTTAAACAGAAAAGCACTATCTGTTTTCCTATGCAGGGTCTCATATATATAAAAAAGGTTAAAAAAAAAAAGGGTGTTGAACACCTACAGCTGGTTTTCTATCATGCCATTGTCCACGTCCATAGTTCCGTTGCATCTTTCGTGAGAATTTCTGTCGATTCTGGTTCTTTGATAGACTCTGCATTCCCCCAGCTGGATATCGCTGGTTCCGCTGGTCCCTCCTCATGTTTCTCTACAAAAAACATTCAACCATAAATATTTTCATAACTGGACATTCAGGAAAAGAAACAATCATATTATAGTTTTTTACTAACCTGTCCAAATCTGTTCCTGTTTCTCTGGTAAAGAGGACGCTGTGGACGTGATGTGTCCACCAACTGGAAAGATGATTCATCCTCCTCATGGTAATAAGAGAACATTTGATTTCCTGCTCCAAACTGAGACTGGTATTTATCTAAATGAACAAAATTCATATTAACGAGTCTTTAAACCCAAAATAGGCTGAACTTCTTGTTATTAAACTGCAATGAGTTTCACTTCCTACCAAGGAGTTTTTGGTAAGCAAAACCTTTAGTGAAAATTTTTGCCCTTGATACACATTTCTTGAATTCCCCTAGTTTGCAACTGATTTCTTCAAACCGCTTGGATACATCCATAAAAAAGGTGTAATAGGAAACACAAACAAAACACTAGTGTTACACAAAGTCAACTACTCACTCATGTATCTCCGATCTTGATAGGTGCCACCAGTCCAATCAGATATCTTTATTGCATAAATTTGAAACACAAATAGCAACTCAATACCAGTGCAGACTTGGTTCACATTGTTTTGGTAAAATATACCCTTTTCCCCACAGACATTTCTTCTTCTTTATACCCTTTCGCTGACCCTCTTACCATTCCTCTAACCCAAACTCACCCCCTGACAAAAACTAATATATCCATAGCAATTACAGTTCTGTTAAATTGCCTTAAGTAAAACTTTTTGTCTTTACATTTCTGAAAGCAAACTTGTTATAATTGATCCTGACTTCACTGATAGTTTTAAATCAAAACTCTATTTTCCTTTTTCTTTGAAGCAAACATGTCTTTTTTAAACCAGTACCAAGTACAGTCCCAGTTTTATCCTGTCACGGCAATTCGACATAGGTTATTTTTTTTACATCCACCAACTTATCCAACAAAACTCAAAATTAGGATTCTTCAATCTACACTTATCATCCTCGGTTTAAGATCTCATAACCTAAATTTAAGACTCATGATCCCAATGTAAAATATGGATTCAGAATTGAGACGTAATGAAAACAAGGGAACACAATTCAGAAAAAATGTCTCAAAGTAAGAAAAATGATTTTCCGCATGATCCCAATGTAAAATATGGATTCAGAATTGAGACGTAATGAAAACAAGGGAACACAATTCAGACTAAATGTCTCAAAGTAAGAAAAATGACTTTCCGCATGTACGGTGTAACAGTGACCTTGGTAGAAATAGTGCAAGGTACAGAGGGCCCATTGTATGGAATTTGCTGCCTAAAGCCATCAAGGATGCTTCCTCTCTACAGCTTTTTAAACAAAAACTTAGACAGGCCTCAAGGACATTAGATCGCATTCAATTCGAAAAGGAGGCCTGTGTGATAACATCAAAGCAAACGGATTTTTTATACTTTTAAGTCCTTGAAATTTCTTTACTTTTTCCTTAGAATTGTCCATATATTTAAGTAGTTCCTTTTTAGTTCCTGGCAGGTCCACACCAGCCTTTGGGTTGCCACAAACCGACCTGCCTTAACAAAAATTATATGTATGTATGTATGTATGTATGTATTTTGAAAACAAGAAACTGAGGCAATTTTTAACAGTTCAAGTGTTTCTTAACTTGGAGAGTTTCCTTAATTTAAGAATACTTTTTGAAATAGAAACAATATGCAAAAGAAACTAAAGCCCTTAACTACGGAATCAAAACATGAAATTGGTTCTTTGAATAAAGAAATCAAGTTTTCAGAGCGTACTCCAACAGAAAAGCGACGTGGCATTTCCGAGTGAGTCTAAATCCAAAAAACGTTCGTTTTACCTTGCCGAGACGATCTCCTTTAGAAAATGGCTGATACGGTATGTCTTTAAGAGCAGTCGGAATGGCACAAGGGCCCCAACCATCGGGATTATCTTCTATAACCGGCGGAATGAAAGATGCTTTACCCGCCATGATGGATTTTCAGCTATCACGTCTATCACGTGGAAACTATTTTCTGTGATGTTGACACTTCTGTGAAAGCAGTACCTCGAGAAACTGCTGTCTCAAAGTATCGAGTAACTTTATTGCACCCGCAGACACACCCGCACCCGCACCGACCCGCACCGACCCGCACCGACACCCGCACCAATTAATACCCAGTACTTTTCGCGTGAATCACTGGGGGTCGCTGGGGGTGGGTATTGTGGGTATCAAAAAGCCTGAGTGTACCTTTGAACAGCCGGCTTTTATCAAGATTATGTAGGCTATACCATAAATTGCGCTGTTTAGGTGTGTATACTTGTGCTTAACCCTGTATCCTTGGGTTTCACCCACGTGACCAATACCTTAGCAACGGTTAATATCCGCCATCTTGGTGTCCCTCGAGCGTAAACAAACCGTATCTAACGAAGAGTTCATGTGAGAAAGAAGGGATGGTTTTATGCATTATTGTTGGCTGTTCGAGCAAAAGTGGAAAGCATAAAGACTAAGGATTTTTTCGCATAATAATTTAATAATTTTATTATCTCTATAGCGCAAAATTCATTATATATATGATCTAATGCGCTATACCTAAGATCATCACAAATCAAGGGGAAGAACAGGAGGAACTAGAAGTTGTTGTATGGTTCGAGGCTTGCGGCTGTTGTAGATCCTCGATTTTTTGGTCGAGCTTTTCTTTGAGCTTCTTAGCCGATGAGAAATCGATGTCTTTAGCCCTCGCATACGGCACTTCATTGACCTATGTCGGCAAAATCCATGAGCATTTTACCTGAGTGCAAGTAAGCTTGGGGTGTCACGAAAACTCACACCCCGAAAACTCAGACCTCANTATGGAGCACTTCGGAAGCTTGGAGAACACTTCGAGGGACCTGAGTTTTCGGTGTCTGAGTTTTCGTGACACCCAGCGACCTTGCCATGAATTCTAGTAGTTGCCTCTAACATAAATAAAACACTCGCGATATGTGAGCATGACTCAGCCAGTCCAGCTTTGCATCCCAAGCAATGGGCTGACAAAATAGTCCCATCGTTTTCGGAAATGACCCAAATGTTCACTAAAGGATCATTCATATGCTGTGAATGCCAAACTCGTGCTCTCACGGCATACTTGCCGGCGATTACTTTGCCTACAACTGAGGTTACAAATCCCGACACCATTTGATTAAACGCCTCTAGACTCTTGAACGCCTTGAACTGCTTCTTGGTGTAGAAGCTGGTCTCAAGAACGAGGTAACTCAGCAAGTCCGACGCTTCCACAGGAGGCAAGCATTTTGGACTGAACTTCTCGGCTGGTATGCTTGCAGGGTCAACCCCAATGACCGAGATCTTTTGCAAACATCTTTCCTTCCAACTCTCTAAGCTTTCGGCATACTCAGAGAGCACTGGGATACCTTAAGATGAATGCCGGATACTTTTATCGCTTTTTTCTGTCTGGATATTCATGTAGTTGGCGAAATAATACGGCGACAAGAGAGAGGGCTTCCCTATAGAAATCGACTAATTATTCATAAATTTGACACCCGAGGGACACCAACATGGCGGACACTAACTTCAGCAAAGCTTGTGACGTCACCTGAAACCCAACCATAGCCGTGTATAGCTCTCTACGGTATTCTACGGCTGCGTATAGCTGTGTATAGCCCTGTACAGTTAACTATAGATATTTTATCTACTACTGTATTTAGTTTGTATATTCTCCCCTAATTGGTGTTCCCAAATTAGTAAGGGATTCGTTCCCTGGCTAGACGGTTTTTTGACACTTTAATAAAGTTTCTACTACTACTACTACTACTACTACAGCTGTGTATCGCTGTGTATGGATCTGTTTATCTGTCGTTTTCTGTACATAGTCCTTTTTGTATTGGGGCATAATAATTCCCTATACATGACGTACCTACCAAAGATTACGCGCCCTATATCTCATGCGTCAAGATGGCGGACGGTTCTGTGGAGGCGAAAGTCATAGAGACGGTAAAATTTAGCTGTTTACCTTCGTATCCGAACGCCATATCGTGGTCGCTTGATGATAGAGTGTCTGTTATTACCGATCAATGCGTTTATATATTGGTATCCTTTTCATGTTGTTTATTATCATTGATTTTTATTGATACTGAATAGCGCATCTGCAAGAGTAAAAAGCGACGTACACGTGCGATTAATGTATGTGCCAAATTTAGCAACGGCGTGTATTGACTTCGGAACAAACCTGTGGTCCAAGGGTAATGTGATGGTTCACAGTAAATGATGGTAAAGTATTTTCTGTTAACTAGCAAATAAGTTAGTTTCTATGTAACAAACAGATTCCACGTTACCGTGTGTCTGTTCAGTAATAGATGACAGGAAATGATGTTGTTATTAAGAGTACTTATGGAAAGATAGTTCACCAAATAATGTACTTTTGTTCAATACTTAATTTTTGTGAGATCAAGTTACCAAATTGTAGTTGTTGCTTTTCCCTATTTTTGCTGAAGAGTTATCAGTTCTCGTAGTTGTTATTAATTTTATTGATTTCTTTAGTGTTATAATAGGGTTCTTTGACAAGGTACAGAGGGTGTTATATATTATTTTTGAACAATTATCACTTAACAAATGAAAACAGACACTCACTTTATCTCCCACGAGATTTGGTGTGGACCCCAAAAAGACAAGTATTCCTGGTTTTAAAAAAAACACAGAATATGATGTGGGTATTGATAAGAAACAACTCAGCAATGTGGAATCAATAGACTGGCGTTTGGATCCCAAAGTTAATCAGTCACTCCTTGCTTGTAGCTGCAATGGCTTTCTCAAGGTTGCATGGTCACCACTAAACTGTGATGAAAATGGCAGGTAAAGAAACGTTTTAGTCTGTGTATATCTTTTAGGTCAATGTTGTATCATAATTTTATAAAGTTATTTTGTGTACAGGATTCAGTAGACCTTTGTTGTGTGTCCTTGCCAAAAAATTGTTAATGCACTATTTGAAAAGTGAACACCACAAACTATCTATCAATGGGAAAGATGTGAAATGCACTACCCAGCAAAAATTTCTTCATTTTAGCTTGACTTATTGTAAATGAAATGAGGCAGGATAATCCGAAGTTGTCTTTCATCGAGCAGCTTTTTGTCAGAAGGTATTGCAGGAGATCAGATGCAAAACATGGAAATTGTTGTAGTCTTCAGGCCCAACTTTAAAGTAATCCATTAATGACATGCATGGGATTATTTTTTTAGGCACAAGGTTTATGGAAAGCACTACAAAAAGATCTTTGGCCTATTGGCCCTTGTCAATCAATTGTCACCATTTTTTTATTTACTGATAGGATTTGGATCATTTTATTTCAGATGCATCATAGCAGCACTCTACTCAGAAGATCAACTTTGTATTTACTTATCTCCCTTGCTTGGTACCAAATGGAAAGAAGTTATTGATTTATCTCAAGAATTTTCAAGTTATCTTGCAAAGAACAATTTTGAATTGGGTCAAGATGTGATGAAGAAAACAGATTGGGGGAAAGTTTCCAGGTCCTTTACAAAGAAAAATGGGTCAAACAGGAACCAATATTCTGTCTTCAAACAACGTATTGAAATCCTGGCCTTTACTTGTTTGCACTGGTTTTCTCATCTTTATCTGAGCAGAGATGTTTCCTCAAATAACACAGAAGAGATAATTAAAGATGAAAAGTTTGCAGTTCTGGCTGTAGGTAACCAAAGTGGTGCTGTGATATTTTGGAAAGTGATGGTACCTGTTAAAGTTGACAAGGCAATAGTTCAACTGGGTGGAATCCTAAACACTGGACAGTCATGGCCGAGTTCCTTGTCATGGAAAGAAACGAACCCAAACCAAGGTAATCTTATCACAATGGAGGTGTTGCAATCCATGTCAGGATTCTAGTACCAGCTAAGTCTTGAAATAAATACATTTTTATTCAAATGATGAATTACAATTATGATGACATTGATATAATAACAATGAGAATGTTGGTAGGGACGTTGATGCTAATGGTGATGTAATGTTGACAACAGAGGTGAATTTTTATCATTAAAACACCCATTGCAAGTGTGCATTGGGCTACAATATTTCCAACTATACATGTATGATATATGTACAGTATTGTTAGAAATAAAATACTTTAAGCATCTGCATTTGAACCACACTTTTTGGCAAAATTTCCCCGACAAAGCTGGGGTGTGGCTTACATGAATCTGTAAGAATACCTGGAAAGTGTGCCTCAAATTTGCCTAAATTAACTCTGGTTATCGAACATTTGTAGTCTAAATAGCAAACTAGTAAGAACTTCATTAGATTTATAAGGTGGAAATAGATCATTGCCTCTGCAAGTTTGGTAGCTGCTCATATAAGAGCCATTTTTCTTCATAAGCCTAAGCTTACAATGTATCTTTTTTGCTTTTGAGTGGTTGTAATCTTTCCTTGTAAAGAGATCTTTTAACCAGCTTAATGTTGCCATAGCCTCCTTGAGCATGGTACTTGACAAGGAACCTTGTCTTATACTGCTATTAAAAAAGCCACTTGTGTCTTATACCCCTTCTGCTAATCAAATGCCTGGCTACTAAGTAAAAGAACTAAAGATTTCCTGTTGTTTTATGTAATACTCTTTGGAAAATCTGACAGGAATGAAGAAAACACCGGTCAAACAAAACAATTTAGTAAGGTTAAAGGGAAATTTAAGTTGGTATATGTGATGTGCATACCCTTACAATGAAAATTATAGATTTTCGTTGTTAGCAACTTTATGCATTTTTGCATGTTTGATGAAGCAACTAAAAAAAGCAACCATCTCCAGAGTCCATTTAACATTTCTGAGCAAACTTTTTTTCCAAAATTCGAGGTGTGGCTTATCTTCAAGGGAGGTTTATGTGCTTGTTTTAATAGTAATTAAGTTTACTAATTATTCAGCTTGTATGGAACATACTCAAACAATTAATCACCAAAGGGTTGTTTAAAGACATTGTATATTACCTCTACTTCAGAGACTAAAGAAAAAACATTAGCCACTATTTGGCATGGAAATATGGACAAATATTTGTCTGTGGACATTATCTGTTCCAAGATGGGAATAGATACTGTCCAACAACAAATATACGAGCGTTTCTTCGGGTGAAATGGAGGCTATTGCAATACTTGGGTAAAATGTTCACAAACAGCTGACATTTTGCTGAGTGGGATGTTTACTTCTCAGTGATCATGAACAAAAATTATGTCCCTTTTTATTTAACTAAAGCCAAATGCTATTTCAACTTGGATTGAATTTTACATGAATGCTTTTACCGTAGTAGATGTAATGTTTGAAACTTGGGGAATATCTCTTGGGTTATATCCTGGGATATTCCCCAGGTTTAGCTGGGGCGTATTTGATCGTGTGATGCATTTAGACCAATTGCATGAGCAAAATTATTTGATGGAATAATAGTTTTGATTATCTGCAGGGTTGTTGGCTGTTGGGAGTACAAATGGTCTCATTAAGATTTTCATTCTCAAGCTGTTGCCATCCATCAGTGGAGTTGCAGAGTATGTGTTGTGGGGAGACAAGGATGACATGCAAGTCCTGTGCTTGGAGTGGGTACATTCACAACTGGTGTGTAGACAATAATTATTGTTAATTTCTTCAGTAATTCACCATAGTATGAGGAGATTGGGGCAGATGCTGAATTACTTTGATTGATGCTGAATTACTTACATTGCAGCCTATCAAAACTTCCCCCTTCCCCAACTTCAGCTTATTTTAAGGTTTCCCCAGCAGTTAAATCTGTTCACGCTCATGGTCAGAGAGTCATTAAACAATCTTGTCCAGATGTAATCCTCCAATTCACATGTGCTGTTTAGCTATGGCTCTAAATTTACCTAGGTGCAAGTGATTAAGTTCAGCATATCTGACTGAAAGGTCACATGTGGGATTGTGTATTCATGCAAACACACTACTCATGCAAGCTACCTTTAATTATCAAGCCAGATTCCAGTCTGCCTCCCACAACTGACAAACAGTCAATCTTTCCTTTTTTCAGTATTTTTTGTTCAATTAGCACAATCTGAAAAGTAAATGAACAAATGCTGACGATGTATTTTTATTGCAGTGGTTATGCAACCAAGTAGTCGATATGGTAAAGTGCATCTTAACAATTTGGCTAAAATTTTCCAATTCCAATATACACATTGATTGGGCTTCAAAAGCTGAGTTACTGATACAGACTGATACAGACTGAGTTACTGATACCTCTGCAGACCTGTGCTTCAGGTGTTCATTTAAAAAAGAAAACAATGGATAACTATGTAGGATTAGCAAAAATGAATATAATTCAAATCACTGGAATTTGAAATACCTTACTTCTGTCGCCAAATGTTTTACTTCCAACACATATTAATTTCCTGTTGGCAACTAATTATGGCATGTACCAAGATTACACTGAAGTTCAGATGGTTAGTTCTAGGAAATTCAGACAAATAAAAAGTGTATCTAAAAAGAAAAGCGTAACACAAACATGGTATCCAGCAGAATGTATAAGTAAGGAAGGAGTATCCTCAGTATTTGCCACACTCTCCAAAGGAAGTAATTCTACTATATATCAGATCCTTGCATCATCCTTATCTGGGTTATTTTGGCCTTCAATCCTTTGTTTGGCTAGAGCTTATCATATTTGTTTTTATCCTTTTTTTTTTTTTGCTTTCATAGACACACGATGAACTTCATTATCTGGTGGCATGTAAAGGTTCATCAGCTATTCTATTTTCAGTTGCTGCAAAGAACGATGCACTGATACAAAAGCCAAGCTATAAAATAATACAGGGCATTCACAGAATGCCAATCACGGGGCTAGCGTGTACACAAAATGGCACTATCCTCACCTGCAGTCTGGATGGATCAGTTCAGACCACCTCAGTTGGTAATGACCTTAGACAGTTAACTAGCTCAGCTACCATCGTGATATTCTTGTATTGTTCACTGTCTACGTCAGCACATTTATATATTCAAAAACTCTACACTGCCGGACTATGCTGTCCTGAACCTGCCCATCTCCCGAGTTGCATTCCTCCTATTTAAACTCCATGTATGTGTCCTTCTTTCTTCTGGGAGTTATTTTTCCATTGAGAATTTACCGAACTTATTTGCTAAGGTATGAATAGTGTGTCTTTGAGGAATAGTTTTACGTAGATGTTAGATAGTTGTTTGGTAAAATGGTGTCCCTATTTTAATGTTCCATCAGTTTCCCCAGATGTTAATCATCATGAAGTACTTAAGGGTTTGATTTATTTATTTCTTTGTATCATTTCTTAATTGTTTTCCCTCTTTATTTCTTTTTTGTTTGTTTGTGTGTCTGTTTTTTTGTTTTTTAAGATGGTGCAGTGGCGAGTGCTGTGAGCTGTGTTGCAAAGAAAGGATTCACGTGCTCTGGTGTGGGAGTGTCCGCTAATGGTGTCTTCATTGCGTTATTTCTTTCTCCTTCAAATCACACACAGCAATATCTGGAATCTCACCCGATTCATGTGAGTTTACAGTCTAACCAATTTCCATTCAAAAATTGTATCAACCGATGTACACGTGTAAAAATTGTTGTGACTTTTACTTACGCGTAGATTCGCTTCGTAAACATTGCGTGGGGATCATCTTCAGTGGAGCGTCTAATGACCAGTGAAGAAGTTCAACTGGATAGAAAGTGGGATGTGTGTAAAGCTCTGCAACACCTCATGTACTATAGCAAAAAACTACCAAAACCACTTCAAGTAGTTAGTACTGAGGCTGTGGAGGGCTCTTCGTTTGCTGTGTTGGTTATCATGCAATACACGCTGGCTGTCATGAGAGTGATATCACAGCAACAGGAGGATGATTTGTCTGGCAATCAAGAGGAGCAGCTGAAGTGGACAGCTCAGCTTGAATGGATTAGAGACTACATCTACAAACGCTTGGTTTCTGCCACACTAAAGAGTTGGTTAGAAGGAAAGAAAGCAGGAACTGTCAGTCATTTAGGTTAGCGGAAAACAATCATGAAGATAACTGATTGTAGGTTAAGGGTACTTTCAGTCTGTTCACTTCAGTTTCCTTCCTTTTTCTTGGTTCTCAAGAAGAGTTCCCTATGGGCAGCTCAAAGGCTGTCACGGAAACTGCTGGGCAATTTTTAACATCCGTTTTAAACACTATTTATGTTAGAGTATAGAAAAAACAAACTTATTGACTCAACTTGCCCTGTTAAATTTAGGGTCTATGTTTATTATTTTAATCTTGCAAATGGATAGTGTTAAACAGGTTGCTATTGAAAGCTTTTTGATTCTTCCTCTCTGATTTTAGTAGGTTAGCGTGGGCTAGGCACACATAATACTCGTTGGCTCGTAGTATAATCTTTACTGGCTTTCACTTGTCCTATGAGAGGCAGTTTTGGATGGGACTGGTTAAATCAGACAATTCTAGCTCTACATAAACCAAATTGAAAGATAATTATGTACCTTAAAGGTTAAATCTGACTCCAGGGATTTGCCATTTACACAAAATACGGCTTCCATACATAGTGATTCTTACATTTTTGTTTTCTCTCCTCAGACTCGGTTGCAGCACTTGTAATGTGCGACTGGTTGGTAACCAAAGGTATTGACTCTGCTGTTACTGATGCAGTTACTCAGGTGTACGAAGCTTTCAATGATACAGGGGGTTTGAAGAAGATCTCATCAGATACTGTGAAAAGCCAGGCAAATGGCAAAGAAAGCACTTCTGATTTACTGCGTCAAACTGAAATATCCATGGAGAAACAGTCTGTTATCTTACAAAGTAACGCGGAGGCTGTAAAGTCTCTAGTAAAGGACATATATGAACCCTCAGCTGGAGTCATAGACGAGTCTTTCACCTTGCTCTCAAGAGAGCAATGTCCATTATGTCAAACTGCTATTGCTGTTGAGAGCTTGGAGTATGGAACATGCCTAAGTGGGCACCGGTGGCCGCGTTGCTGTGTGTCCTTTGTCATTTGTGCGGACTTAGCACTCAGACGTTGCCAAGATTGCAATCGCTGTGTTTCAACCCCGAGTCCTCGATCATCTCCCTGGTTACGAAGCCTTTTACAGTTGACGAAGTGTCCTTTTTGTTCAGGCTTCTTTCATTAATTTTTTTCCTTGAGTCAATACACACCTTTGTGTGAAAAGGACAGAGTTTCATGCATGAAATACAGTGGAGTTACAACTACAAAAGGCCTGTAGTAGCCATTTACGGACGCTTGAAAAACTGGTATCCTCTCTGACCGCTTTTACAAGGGTATGCGCGCTAACCTCGTTATCAGGAGATGAAACAAATTACTGAAATAAAATAATAAAATGGTGCTTTGTTGGCGTATTCATCAGAATTCGAACTTTTTTCGTCTTTATCGGGATGAAAGGGATGCTTGAGGAAAAAAACAAACTTTGTGATCATTAATTTTTTTCGAATTTTTTTCTTTCGAGCAAATCGCACGGTCTGAGTTACCGTGAGCAAAGAGGGGAAAAAAGTAACTGTTTAGTCATCGGGAAGGGTATCATTATTCAAGTTATCAAGTGTCAACTATAATAGCTATATAGAGCAAACCGCGACGACGATATCAACCAGTGTCTTAGAAAACAAGCAAAAGATCTAAGGAGCAGAACAATAGCTCAGCATGTGTGTTCTAAAATTTTGTACATTTCTCAGTTGCCGTCTTCTGCAGCACAGCAACCTGAAATCACCAAAATCTGCGTTTTTTGAGTGACAAATGGATCATGTTTCCATTTGGAACCCAACGCTGCTCACATTTTTGCTGAAGTTGAGGTGAGGCGTCGTAAGAGACTAAACACATCCATCTTTCCGCGATATTCTAGCTTAAAATATAAATTTATTTTTTAATGGACGTCTTCCATGGCGTTGCCTTCTGACTGCTTAAAGTCCATAATATGATTGTATCGACTGACGGCCACAGTGAGTTTAATAAGCAGCCTTCGTACTTTCCCTCGTAGATATTTCAGTAGATGTGGAAGGTATGGAGGATGGGGTAGTATAAGGCTGGTACCCTGTAGTATGAGGCTGGTATCCTCGCATTTGGTTTCTTTCTGTCTTACTTTTGTTCTACTAGGTTTTTATGTCAGTTGCAAAACTTAACTTTGAAAACCGCACAAAAGTACAATTTTGTTTCTCAAGAAGTTTATTTGGAGCGTTCCTGTTTATTTTATAACTTGGATATATCAACAAAGTTGAAGTGGTAAATTGGCCACCGTAACGATTACAAAAGCTGACGTTTCGAGCGTTAGCCCTTCGTCGGAGTGAATAAAGGAATTATGGGTTGTATGTGCTCTTAAAGGCAGAGAATGGAGCTACGTTATTGGTGGGAAAATGGCAACGAGAAAAACAAGAATAAATTAGTGGAATGAAAAGCGTTCGTTGATCCCTGTGGGATTTAGACTGCCGGTTTGAAAGATGAGCTTTTGTTCAAGATTTTTACGGCTTTCCGTGCTACCTAAGTGTGAGGAAAGACTATTGGGATATTGGGATTCATTGGTTTTGGTTTTAAGAAGCTCAGTCGAAATCCGATTGATACTTAGCACTTTCATAGAAACGAGGGAATGTCATTGGGAAGTCCTTCATGAAGCATGCATGACCAAATTTAACAACTCATCTCTTTTTTTTCTTTAGCCATTGGGTGGCCGTAAAGCTAAATCTCCAGTGCAGTGCTTCAGAAGAGCCACACCCGATAAGGACACCACATACAAAGCAACTCCGTACCTCAAGGCTCTTTCCATTTTAGACCACTCTTCACGAGTCATCGCAGAGCAGCTCACACTGATACAGCAGGTAAACCTCTCCCAGATTCTATTTCCGGAATTAGCTCCTTCCGTTCTGAACTTCTCCTCTAATGGCTTTCAGTTTTCTCTTGCAGTTTTTATTATGTGTCTCTTTCGATCATTGTGATTTGTGTTACTACAATACAAGAGAATAAAGGCTGATAGTTTCTAAAGAAACTGTTTGGGGCTGCGTCGGTGGGGTAACGAAATAATTTCAATACATCAACAAAGTTGAAATGGTAAATTGGCCACCGTTACGATTATAAAAGCTGACGTTTCGAGCGTTAGCCCTTCGTCGGAGCGAATAGAGGAATTGTGGGTTGTGTGTGCTTTTAAAGGCAGAAAATGGAGCTNTCAAAGTTTCAATTGAAGGTAACGGTTTATGCACTAGTGTGTATTACAAACCTACAGACTCGCATAATTACTTGTTATATTCGTCTTCGCATCCATCTCACGTTAAGAATTCCATTCCTTTTTCTCAGTTTCTAAGACTTCGTCGTTTATGTAGTGATGACTCTGATTTCCACCACAAATCAGAGTCAATGTGCCAGTTTTTCGATAAACGTGGTTACCCTGTTTCTGTCGTTCAAGCGGGTTACCACCGCGCCCAACTTATTGATCGACATTCAGCACTACAAACGTCGCATAAGGAAGATTCCGACCGCATTCCATTCACTCTCACGTTTCACCCTCACAACCACTCAGTTAAATCCATCATTCTTAAAAACTTTAAATTACTTCAAAACGATCCAGAGACAAGCACTATCTTTTCGCAGCCTCCGCTCATTTCATTCAAACGCGACAAAAACATAGGCAATTTTTTGGTCAGAAGTTCTTTTCAGACTAATGACCAACCAGGCACTTTTAAATGCGCTCGTGCACGATGCAAAACGTGTCCTTTCATTCACAACACTGATAAAATATCGGGACCTAAACGATCCATTAAGATCACCGATCACTTCACGTGCACCTCCGCCAATGTAATCTATTGCATAACTTGCACTTATTGCAAAAAGATATACATCGGCGAAACAGGCAGAAGACTAGGTGACCGATTCCGAGAACACCTTCGAGACGTGGAAAGGAATGACAAGGACACATCGAAACCAGTCGCTAGACATTTTAATTTACCTAATCATTCTAAGCAACATATGGCAATCTGCGGTCTTTCCTTACACTTAGGTAGCACGGAAAGCCGTAAAAATCTTGAACAAAAGCTCATCTTTCAAACCGGCAGTCTAAATCCCACAGGGATCAACGAACGCTTTTCATTCCACTAATTTATTCTTGTTTTTCTCGTTGCCATGTTCCCACCAATAACGTAGCTCCATTCTCTGCCTTTAAAAGCACACACAACCCACAATTCCTCTATTCGCTCCGACGAAGGGCTAACGCTCGAAACGTCAGCTTTTGTAATCGTTACGGTGGCCAATTTACCACTTCAACTTTGTTGATATATCCAAGTTATTTCGTTACTCCCACCGACGCAGCCCCAAACAGTTTCTTTCGAAACTATCAGCCTTTATTCATTTATTTATTATTCATTTGTTTATTTTATGGCTAATAGGGCGAAACTTTCACAAACTTCTCGTAGTCAGGTCAGTATTTTTTAGCAACTGTTTTCGAGGTTACAATCTAAACAGAATTTGCATAAAACACAGCTACCTTAAGGTATTTTTCTTGTCATGTCTCCTTTAAATTAGTAGAGGAGACACTTTAAATTGTTTTCACATGGTCCCATTTGTGCGGCGAAGGTGAAATTCTCTAAAACAGATGTTCGTAGTGAAATAGTCAATAAAACATGAAGCCGGCCGGAAGCTGACAATTACAGTTGATACCGGTTGGATACTCAGGCCTTGAAGAAAATTAATCTTATTTGCATGGCCTGTCAACTCTGTCATGTTACTGGCAGAAGGGAGCTTTTAATTTTGTTACTGTTTACCTTTCTCAAAAGCACACGGGCATCGTTATCGCTTCTAAGCGCGCACTTCTTAGCGAAGTCGACATGAAGTAATTGCTTCTAAGAACTCTACATTGTTAAAACGTAATTGGCGGAAAGTATTGCTGTTAACTGAGCGGTGAGTACATCAGTACGGCGTGAACCGGGCATGAATACTGCGAGTGCATTCTTGTTCCACATCTTGGTCGTCTTGCTTGACAGAATAATATTCTCTCGTTGTGCAGGTAAAGATTACTTTTCACCTTGGTTACTTAGAGTCGCTGTTTAGTGAGTTGAAATAGTCTTTTTATTAAAGTTCCTTCAGTACCAAGCCCGTGTAACGAAGACATGAAACAGATCGCTTACGTGAGCGATGGTTCAGTGTTGCGGTGTCACAGTGATATGTGTACCCCCGTGATATGTGTACCCCCGCACACATATCACTAGTGATATGTGTGCGGGGGTACACATATCACGGGGGTACACATATCACTGTGACAGCGGGATCTTTATTATTATTACGTTGATGTATAAGCTGTTCTTCTCTTTGGCAATATCGATGGTAGGTTTTATTTACCGCGCTTCAGTTGTCCTTAAAAGTGATGTATTTCATCATTTTCTCTATGTTCAATCCAACTTTATAAGATTCATTGACGATATTTTCATGCAGACAATCAAAACTCGCCAGACACTTCTACTTCCGAGACAGCGTGAGTTAATCGTGACAAAATCAGCGAGGTTACATTTGTTAAAGAAAAGATAGGGAATTTTGGAAATTTATACTGAGGTTTCTTCATCATTTTTTAATTAAGTTATTGACAAGTACAGGTGACAACGTCATACCATTAGATTAACATGCATTCAGGATTTAGATTCTTTGTTTTCTCATAGGTGTGGAGTAAAAATTCTTCATGTCTCGTAGTAAACGCATTGTGATTCGTTGTAGGAACAAGTCTGCCGATCACTGATCGAGATAGGTCAAAGAAGCATATCACTTTGCTATCGCTTGTGTCCTTGTTATGCCAATGGCTTTTCACGGAATAATGGAAACCACATAAAAAAAACTCTCCATATAATTTACCCGCATTTTCTCTACCGAACCTGCAAATTGTACAGAGTTTCGTCGAACATGTTTATTGCAGGGATCGATAAAAGAATCATTCGCGTGAACACGGGGAAAGAGGAATATTTCCGATATTTCGAGCTAAAGATAAGCGTATTTTTATTTCAAAAGCTGTTAGAATTACTTGGTCAGTCTTGAACTGATGGCTAGGGTAAATGATTCTCATAATTTTTTAAATATGGCAACGTCTGCCTGTAAAACTTGTTAATTAGGGGTTAACATGCTTTGGAAAGATCAAAAACTTAAGTTGATGGCGGTTATCTGCATGAAGCTACTGTAATTTGTACCCGCATTCTTTCAAGTTGTCGATGGTAAAGCGTAAGCCATGTAATTATTTGTTTTAGAGACAAAAGAAGATCGAAGTGTAATTTACATTTTCTACGTGATTACATTTGATGATTAACGCCCTGTTTTCTCTGCAGAGCTTAATTCATCTTCATCTGGCATAGCGAGCTCCATCTCTCCATCTCTTTCGCTGTGCTCAGATTGTGCTCCGTCTACGGTTCAACCAAGAAACCAGATCAGTTTTATTTCGTCAAAGAAAAGAAGTATTTACCTGGAAACTGACACAAAATACTTGAGCAGTTCGTTGGTAATGATGACTTCTGTCGTAAGTCCAACTAAAACACTGGTTTTCCATACTACCAAACCTGTGCGACAACCCCTACCAGCACCCCAGCTGACTTCATTTGGGATATTTTTAATAACGTTCGGTGGTGTATTAATTGTATGTATGATCATCGCATTAGTTTGGATATGCTGTGGAAGAGAACGAAGGTGAGGTATTTGACCGCCTTCTACAGGTGATCTTAGTCCTTCTTATCATTTTATTTCAGTACATTCCATAATGATCTTTCTGATTTTCTACAGGTTTTGATGTTCTCTAGTATACAATAGATCTATTTTTAATATCACTTTCCCCATCCGCCTTTCCGACTTTGTATTTAGGAAAAATCCGACGGAGTACCCAGTCTAGGCTGGTATTTACTTTGGCCACAGTGAATATATTTGAATATAACTGATTTCGTTCATTGGATGTAAACAAATTGTAGCTGTGAGGCTCCCCACCCAATAAAAAAAAGTCTTAGCACAAACCAACGGGAAGGCTGATATCTTTAAACGATGTCAAATAAATGAAATGAATGGTCACCACAGCTGAACTGCAGTTGGAGAAAATGATTTATTCCACATCAACATCATAAACAAATAATGATATGGTTTAGTCGAGTCTATTAATATAGTGAGTGTGCATTATAATGCCATTGTAACATGTTCTTTTTTCTTCAGCCCCGAAGCTCCACATCCCCAAGTGAAACTGAAACCTTGGAGGTACTGAGTTCATAGCATTACGCCAATAAATTACATGCACTTCGAGAAAAATAATTCGCCCTCAACAATTGGCTGGACTACAAATCGTATAACGTCTTTATTCGATCTAATAAAAAGGAATTACAATGATAAGTAAGAAGTCAAAATCGAAAGATTCACGACTTACTACTATGCATGTGGCGTTATTCCATTTAGACTAACGAGCGGGTCAGCAAACAGTCCAACAGCTTCGCAAAGAAAACGTGCTTGTACAACGTAGACGGCGTGATTAAAACCTGTTTCACATACGGATCAAATGTTAATTTTCTGGCCTAAACGGCTACGCCTTAAACTGTTAATCGCAAATGAATTATCAATCAAATGTTAATCGACGTGTTAACTTGAACAGGAATAACTACTGGCAGTGCTCGAAATTAAAAAAAAAAATCCAGGTTGTCCCTATTTCAAAAGCCGTGCAACCAAAGCCGTGAATTTGGTTGCCATGATGAATCCTTGGTTGCCCTGGGCTCAAACCCAGACCTTTTCGATTACCACAAAAGAAAAGGATGGCCAAAACTTCCTACCTCGGTAGAAAAACAGATGGCGGTCAAGCTTGAACTAATCCCATAGTTCTTAGTGTGCGGCAATGGTTTTCGCGGAGGTCTGGGTTTAAGTTGTGGCATATTCAAAATGGCGTCTTTGATCTTGATTGCCTCCTGACAAGAAACTTTGTGTTTGTCTCTTACATTTTCGTACCTGGCAATGTTTTATAGAATTTACAGCTATCCAAAACACAGGAAAACGCTTAGCTGAGGGAAATTATTATTAACTTCACACTACCGGACATTGACAAAACAAAACCGTCACGTAGGTCAGGTGCTGTTTATGGTTAATTTATTTTCTATTTTTGGCTGGGTTGTCCGTTGTTTTTCCCCGGACAACCAGCCCCTTAATTTTACCAAAAATTGGTTGCCCGGTAAACTTTTTGGTCGTCTCGGACGACCGGACGACCACTAATTTCGAGCACTGCTATTGTCATTTTGTCAAGGACGCAATGTCTTGAAATTAGTCAGACAGGCAGTAAGCATATTAAGGGCTTTTGCATACTAACCCCTGCTCTAGTGACTCAATCACCGATGGTTTTATTGATGACGACATCACCAGTCAAAGGCCAACCTGACGCCCAAATTGGGTCAACCTCGTTCCCAGGGCCTTTTTGGGGGTGGGGCTCCACCCCCAACGAAGGTAAAAGGCCCTGGGAACGAGGTTGAAAATGGTGTTACGAAAACTAAGACCCTCGAAAACGAAGACCTAAGTCCCAAGACCAGTCTTAGTTTTCGAAAACTAAGACCCCCTAAAAATCGAATCCGTCGAAATATTAAGTCAAATTAAAACCAAAACAGGTCTAATCTCTCAAATTATCTCCTGTCCGATCCTTTCCACCGAGTTTTAGGTCAAATTTAACGGTAATTTTAGGGGTCTTAGTTTTCGTAATCTCGAAAACTAAGACCCCTCTTAGTTTTTAATTACGACAACTAAGACCCCCACCAAACCATCCTGTAAAATGTCTACAAGGTCGACTTACGACCGTTCAAAGACTATAATCCGTAAAACAACAAAAAACTGCAATCGTACGCGTGCTAGACGATCCGCTTCTTCTAACAATTTGCAGACATATATTTTCAGCATTGTGGCTTTATAAAGACGATGAAAGCCATACACTACCTACGTATAGTTGTACACTGAAAATATGCCTTACCTCAATTGATCTTTAATTTTTTTTATCCTTTAAATCATAAAATTGGCTTTCCACTGGAGATGGATGTTTTTCTACGTGTCTCTGCGATCGAGACACTGCTAGTGACAGTGCCGAATCTCTGTCAGTGCACTGACAGTGGAGATGGATGTTTTTCTACGTGTCTCTGCGATCGAGACACTGCTAGTGACAGTGCCGAATCATTGTCAGTGCACTGACAGTCCCGAATAACTTATACACACGAGCTCGGTTTTGGCGGAATGCACGTGGACATTAAATTAAGATTCAATAATAAGATTCATATTCAATAATAAATCCGGTTAGATTTCCCGTGTTACTGTAACATCACGAAACGAAGAAATGTGACAAAAAAAGCGAAGAAAAAACGTGATGTCTTCACAAATGGTTTCACAACATGGGGTGTAATCAAGCTGTCAAGGAAACTCTCCTGACAAGTCCAAGCTCCAGACAATAAAATTTCCCTGGCAGAATCGGTCACATTTATTGACTTCTACGTTTTTCCGACGGATAATATCGGCAAGCAACAGTAGTTCCACTTCACAGGTTTCGTAAGTTTTTACGCAAGAAGTGATCGACAGGAATACCTGGTCGCGTTTTCCGGTGTCGATGATTAACTCCTTTGTTCGGAAACAGATCAAATCGATGTTAGCAGTGTTTTTGCTCGATTGATCGAATATGACCTTTCTGTGGGTTCTTAATTTAATGTCCACGGTCGTAATTCAACTTTGAAGACATTTTACAGAATGGCTGGTGGGGGTCTTAGTTTTCGTAATTACGAAAACTAAGACCCCTAAATTTACCGTTAAATTTGAACCAAAACTTGGTGGAAAGGATCAGACAGGAGATAATTTGACAGATTAAACCTGTTTTGGTTACAATTTGACTTTATATTTGGACGGAGTCGATTTTAGGGGGTCTTAGTTTTCGTAATCTCGAAAACTAAGACGGGTCTTAGGTCTTAGTTTTCGAGGGTCTTAGTTTTCGTAACACCCGCCCAAAATGCAATAATGACTTGACTTTTCCAGACAATGGAATTTCTAGCCATGGGAAATCTATTTATGCTTTTGAAAACATCTCTTGTTTAAGTCAAAGAAATATGAGAGACTTAGAGCTCGACAGTGCATTAAAAAAAAGGATTATTCGCTTAGTCACGAGCGCAGGACAGACAAAGACATCTCAGTGCCAATAAAGAATGGAACCCCAGGCTTTTAGAATCCGTTATAGTTGTATGATACAATTTATCATAAGTTAGTTGATACCGAAAATAAATGAAAATATACCGTTGATGACGAAGTGATTTCATCTACAGAGGTGTCAGAGCGTTTCTCCATTTCGTTCATTCTTAATGTATCGCGCAGAGGAGGGTTTAGGAAACTGAGGAAATTTTTGTCTACTTTTACAAAAATGGTTGTTCATGGCTAAAATTGTCCTCACAAACGCATTTTCGTCTGATCAAGTTTATAGCTGTGGATATCCTAATAAAAAAAGCCTGTGCTGAGAGTGCATTTTTCTCTTGTCAGTCATAGCCCACCAGAGCAAAGCGTGAATGATGCTGCTACCGAAATAAGCGATCTCCCAAACAGCTACCAGAACCAAGGATTGAATAGGTAAGCATCTAAATACACTTCCTTCGCTTCAAGCCTTGCTTTTACGTCATAGTTGATCACAGTTGATAATGTGTGATTTGTGACATTGAAAATCATTTTTTCACGGCTTTGAGCACAGGGAGCCCAGACAAGCGACGAGTCTGGTTGTTTATTCGAAATATGAAGGAATGTATGGGAGAATATTGAAGAGTCTTATCATCGTAAACTTATATCATGAAATGTCTTATTTTGAGCTTTAACTCAGACATTTCATGACATAAGTTTACGATAATAAGACTCTTCAATATTCTCCCATACATTCCTTTATATTTCGAATAAACAACCAGACTCGTCGCTTGTCTGGGCTCCCTGTGCTTTTATTACTCCGTAATACACACAAGATACGACACTGAACCTATTAATCTCTTTAAATGGCCTACACAGATAAAATACTTGGTCGAGAGTATTATGGATACAACGAATAATATTAGTTTTATATCTTGAGTTAGCATCGAATCAAAATTTTGCAACGTAAAAACAGGACTTAGGAGTATACGGCATTCTTTATACCCGGATAACTACACACATTATGTGCTTTTTTGTGGGTATTCAGTAACCAATATTTAGTTTGTGCCAAACCTGATGATGAATTAAAATTTGGTTTTGAACCAGTTCTATACACGTCTTTATGCAGAGATTCTTCTTATTAAACTCATCAAGATGATCAAGGCCATGTATCTTGAAAAACTGTAAGCACAGATTGATGGCTCAGGTAAAACAGAGATCTGGAATACCTGAAGCAAAGTTTCAATTTTTTTTTTCTTGTACGTGATCAACTAGATCGTGAGAAGAACAGTACATGATAAAGCTACACTAGTATAAGATGGAAATTATGTTCTAAGCCATGACTTGTTGTCCGCCTTGATAATTGGATTGGCTTGGACTGATTTAAGGCCTCTCTGGGGCCTTAAGTCGCCGTAACTTTGGGCGACTTTGGGCGATTTGAGGCGATTTAAAGCGACTTAATAAGCAAATTGGCAGAAAAAACATTGCGACTTTAGGCGATTTAAGGCGACTAAAGGCGACTTAAAGTGATTTTATTTGACTGAAGTGATGAAATCAAAGTTAGCAACAGTCTCTCCATAAACCTTAAAATATTTACAGAATCTCTTGCAATAAACACAATAGTCATTTTGGTTACTTTTGTATGCTCATCAGTCACAATAGCGACTTAAGGCAACTTAAGGCGACTTAAGACAACTTAAGGTCCCAGAGTAGGTCTCGATTTAGCAGAAAGTAATCAGTCAGAACTTCATCAGCAAAGAGACCAGGTTAAAGAATACTTGCAAAAATACGAACCTCCTAAGTTTTAATACATTCAGCAAGGAGAAGAGAAGTAAAGGTAGATTAGTAAGAAATTGAAGACCAAGATGGCCTTGCGTTCTTGGGCGCGAAGGTCTGCAAGTCAGGTGGTACCGAGGAGGACACAAAGGCAAGATTGAAAGGAAAACAATGGAAACATATTCCAGGCTGAATAACTGAGATCTGGAAGGACAGTTAATTTTCGAGTAGGACTTAAGATCAAAGTCAAATGTCATTCGGTGCTGATGTACGAGTGCGAAACTTGGGCAGTGACTCGTCTATGAGTTTAAGAAGGATATCTAGAACCTATCAGCTAATGTCTGTGAGAAACGAAGAGACCGAGAAGAGGGAACATTGATTCTATAAGTGATCAACTGCCAAGAAGAAGATGGGCTGGGTCACGTATTGCTTTCACTTGGGTATCAGAAACAAGGGAAAGCCATGACGAACAGGCGAGACCTAGCGAAGGAAATACCAAATAGATTGTAGGGGGCAGGGATTATGGCCATCTTTTTCGTTATTTTAGATTATGATTTTTATTACAAGGAAGAAATTTTGAACTGGGTTTGAAAATTTATGTAAAAAAAAAAAAACATAACAAAAACTTAACCCACAACAGTAGCATTTCCAATGACAAATCTCCTAAAGAATGAAATATCACATGGCATCGAATCCTCCGCATTATCTCCAGCTGAGTTGTTTACGGCTTAATAGTGTTTATAGTTTATTTTGTAACCAAAACAAGATAAAAACTCAAATTAAAACTTCAAAATTTAGTACTCTGTTTCTTTAATGTATGGTGATACAAAGTTGGGAGCAGAAATAATGCACTCAAAAAAAGTTGAAAAGTTGAAAAAAGTTGATTCATGCATGATGAGGCTAATTTCTATTCTTTTATATTCATGTAAAGCAGCCTTTCTGACCTAGATCACATGTTCAAAAACGATAAATTTTCTCTCAAAAGCGAGGCCAGGTAGGCTAATGAGTTGCATGAACTTAAAACAACAATAATCACGCCCGCCACTATGAAAGAGGCCTGTGACAGTTTGAATAGGTTTTCTCTCTCTACCGTTCTAGTTCAAGTCCAATCAGTCCTTTCACACAAAATACCAATACTGGGAGAATAACAGAAAATTTCAGGTAAATTAAACACATCTTTATTCTGTAGAATCATTAATAAACTATATGAACTATACGCTACACATTGTCCGCCCACAGGGAGTCACCGCTAATTTAGGGATACAACTGAACTTATCACTTGAGGTAAGACATTCTGAAAGCATTCTTCAGACGTCGTATTATATACAAAAGTTTAGGGGTGAGGAGCATGTGCTTGTGTGAATGAAAATTCAACATTAAACAAGGTAAAAAGTTTGCGCTAGATACCTCCATTTCTATACTACTTCCAAGATTCTACACTTACTAACCACTTACCAACTTTTATTAAGATTCAATCTTGTCGTGGCTTCTGTTCGCTACTTTTTGACGCCATGAAATATATTAGTTTTGTGAAAAGGCAAACAAAACTACAAATGTGTATTTCCTTTGATAGATCATTGCTAAAAACTGACAGAGCAAATTTTTTTGTATTTTTTTCCCGGAAATAGAACAACCACCTAGATCCTCTTTCGGTGTAGAATGCTACGTGAAAAGAAGGCTTAAGTGTTCGCATGAGAGGGTCACGGGGAAACGTGGCCACTCAACAAAGAGTTGCTGTCTGGCGAAAAAAATGAAAACATGATTGTAATTTTTTAGGGCAGAAAAGCAGGTTTCGTCTAATATCTAACGTTCAGTTGAGCCAGGAATGAGATGTTATTTAAAGATATTAAAAGGAAAATCAGGCTGAGAGAACACTCAAATGAATACATATCCTATGTGAAGCTACTGACTTATCTAGCCTGCTTTGATTCTTTCAGATAAAAGATTTCCTTCTACACGTTATGACATAATGAAGGCTAGTTCCAATCTCAATGTCACATAACTGCGTCAATGTGTGCACTCACTTGGTGATGAGAGTGAGTGCGAGAAAAGAGCCGCACTACAGACGTTATGTGTAAGGAATCTTTTCCACGATATGTCGTTTCTGGATACACAACCCAGAAGTAGGCGGCACACCTTTCGCTGATGAAATAACTAGCTTGGACCTTAACACTTTCTCTGGTACCAGAGTGATATCGTGGCAGCTGGTGGGGAACACTTCGAGCACAAGACAAAAATGTGAATTACCGAGCTATGTTATTTGTATTATTCAATGTCTTTGGTTCCTTTTGTTTAATGTCATGTGTGTCGGGCGCGCGGAGAAGGAGCCCGGAAATTAGATCAAAGAGCTTTATCTTTGTTGATAGTCAATAGCAAAAGATACTATGAAGTAAATTATCTACAGAAATTCCTTAAGAAGGTGTGTTCTAATAGTCTATTTTGAATCTGATCAAGAGTTGCCCTGGTTTTGAATTGATACACTCTCTTGAATTTTATACGTGAACTTTATTAAAACATTGCCGCTATCTAACAAAGCTTTCAGTTATCCAAAGTAAGTAAATTCAAAATATGAAATAAAGAAGGGATTTTGACAACATACGTGAGTATTTAACTGGAACCAGTTTGTCATTGAAGTGTTCCGACACTGAATACCTGTTATACCTGTTATAGTGACAATCGTGTGAGGCGACCTCTTACTACTATTTCCGAAATCTGACCTTAATCCTATTTTCTAATTTGAAAACACATGATATACCTGGCTCCATGAGAAAACCCTTCTTAAAAATCCTCCAAGTACAGTTTTCTACTACAAATGTTTTATATGTCGTTTCATGATCTGAGCCCCGTTTCTCCGAAAAAGCTGGTGCCACCAAATATAAGTCATAACCATGTTGGCTGATTCCGGATGTTTTGGATATTTGGATTTCAGTCAAAACCATCTATTCTCGTTGAATGTAAACACGAGGGGGAAAAAACAGTTTTTCGGGATCGGTAATGAATGCAGTGTATTACATCTAATGAGTTTCTTTTAAAATCAAGGGATAATCTTTCGCTTGGACAAAGAAAAAAATGAAAAAAACCTTCTGACTTGATTCTCAGCACTCTCTGCAACTCCAGAGCCTCGACTCATGATAAAACGATAGAGTTTATGTTCACGCGCATAAACATGTTTTCCACTTAAGGCAGATCTTGGATTAGTAATTCGAGATCTCTCGTTATCTCGCAATGTAACTCGAAATTTTGCTTTATAATTAGAGATCTCATACTATACGTTTAGATCTCAAGTAGTAAGTCGCTATCTCGCGTTATAAGTCGCAACTTACGGAAATAAATCAACCATACAGGACCCTTCTGGGCCACTGTACAATACCGTGCTAGATTGTCGCCCATGCACTGATTTAGCCTGGCTTGATTTTAAAAATCAATGGCCGACAATCTTTTCTGGAGGTTTTATTACCTGTCGTTAGCGGAGCACTACTTTCAGAAATTCTAGTTGGCATCCTATATCTGAGTTACTAGGCCGTCCCCCCTCCCCCCCCCTACAACCACACTTTTGCCACGAAAGAACTGAGAGCTCTTATCAGATTTCTAGTTGCAATCTTTATCTCCGAATTTGAACTGCAAATTTTATGAACAGCCATAGTGCGAAAGTTATCCTGCGGTTATTAGCTTTAACTGGTCTGTTCTATACCCTGTGAATGTAGCCTTACCAATCTTAGCCATGGGCAATTTAGCCCGGAATAACTTGTAAACTACAGAACTACTGAGCTTCAATGCCACCTAGAGGATTAAACTTTTTATTTTCTTTGGAAAAATGACAATTCCACCTTTTTACCGCGTGATAAAACAATCACATTTGTAAATAATTCCAATCATTAAGCAACCAGTCACTAGGAGCACTTAGAGACCGAAAAAACACCAGACGAACGTGTTTGGCGTGAGCCGTTGTTTTATTGATATTACGGGTAGGGAAGAAACAAAGAAAGTGTAAGAGAACAATAGATGTCATGGCAAGTGATATTACACCAGGTTTAGATTCCTACTGTGCGACTTTTTAATGTCGACCACATCTCTACACATCGGTCATGCACTATGTTGCCATTGATGCTCTGTTGAATCTAGCTACTCACTGAATTCAATCCAATAACAAGTCTATAGACGGTTCTCGCTTTAGAATGAGTGGCGTCCTTTCTTACCGGACCTCTCTACAGCTGACCTTGAAGTTGGTACTTTTGTTATGTGTTACTATTCCGTTTGCTTTTGCTCTTAACAAATTTCAAGATCACCAATACCTGATACCTAGGAGCGCAGTCAAAACGAATCGTCCAATTATAGGTTGGTAAAAATCTCTTTATGATTCTTTAGCCGTTTACTGATGTGTAAAATCTTTCGTTCGGATCAGTTTTATCTTGTGTATTAGGTTTAAGTTTCTATAGCTTTTGCAACACCGACAATTTATATACAGTTCCATTTAATTCCTTTCTATATCGATAATAGTTGCCTTGATCACACAACACATTAACTTACATCAATGAAAACTTAGCAATCGAGCACGATTCTCAGAGAAGGACTGCAACTGATCAGGCACTTCCAAGAACCACCATCTCCGACCTGCCTTTAATACTAGCGTTAAGCTCCAAAGAAAAATTTCTTTAATCAGGTATTTTGACTCAAGAAACCAATGCCGATCTTACGCAATTTGGTTACCAATACCTTAGCGCTCTTTACGTGAAGACTTTGGAATCTGCGGGGGCTCGAGCTGCCCCAGTTTTGTATCCTTTTCATCTATTAAAGAAATTTCACATTTTTTCTGTGTTTCTTTCAGTTTAAACTACAGAAAACACTATTCAGCTTCAGCTGCTACCTTAATAACCCCTCTAAAATTCACGGAAAATAATACTAAAATGATAAATATATTTCTTTTGGTTGTAAAAGACAATGCACTTGCTTACCTGCAAGCTGATTGCATAGTTTAAAAACCTTGAGGAAAACTGACTGGTAGAATAAGGGTTTGTTTGCTTTCTTTATTTAGATAAAAGAAATTAACGAGGACTCAATAGACCCTTTCTCCTTATTGGCACAGTTTTGTCTTTCATATTTACGATGCAACTGAAATTTCCAGGTACGATTGTACCTGTCAATTGACATTGAGGCACGACAAAAAAATCCATTGATGCACGCACTGCGAAGGTTCTTGCGAGAGTGTAACATTTACTAGTTCTAATGTCCATATCAGAATCCCATGTCTCGATTTATCTCTTGACTAAATGCACAGTGTCAATTCCAGCACAGAAGAAATAGAAAAGATGTTTCATTCTTTAAATGGGTAAGTAAGCAACAAGGTTGCAGGTGGAGACCACGTAACATCAGTTTTTTTTTTCGAACAGGGATCAACTTGAGATTAAAAACAATTTTTTTCTACGAAAATGAAGGTTCGAACTCTGAATCTTTCCTTGCTGAAAAGTTAGTCAGCTTGCTAATTTATCTGACCTTAATTACAATTGTTAAAAATATTGATCGTCTCTGAAATCAAGATACTACTGACCTACTTTGTGTGGGAAAGATTTAGGTAACGTTTATTCCAGCTGAGTCACTTCGCCTTCAAGTGTAATCACGTCGTCCCCTGTCAGATCGACTAAAATCTAGTCCTTGTTGAGAATTTTTCACCGGTCAAGGTAAGTTGTAATTCAAATCTTAATCTAATGTTATGAACAACAAGAAATGAATGTGCAATGTTTTACAAATCTGCAAGTTTTTCAATATGCTGCAGTGAAAATTACATGACTTCTAATTTGGTCGATCTAACATGGGTACAACGTGACCACACTTGGGGGCCACGTAACTCGGCTCAGTGGTGACAAATGACGTGACTCATTACCATGGTAAGGGGGTGAAGCACAATAAAAATGGAATATGATTTCCAACAAAAATTCTTTGTTCACTTTTGCAGTTCAGACGTTGGCCTTCAAGCAGACAAAACCCTAGCCCTAGCCTGTTTAATGTAACCTCTTAGCTTTTCGAGATAGGAGTGATATGAACCCTTAAGAGCTCTGATGTCCATGGTACCTTTTAATATATAAATATTTAATAAGGTGTCGTATCCAGCTAAAGAAATTTGAAAGGTTTCTTTTTTCCTTTAACAACACTAATGATTACGACTACAACTATCTTTTTTGTCTAAAGGAACAGTATAACTTGCATTTAAGTGTTAAAATAACCTTTTTGAAGGGGAGGGGAGTTTTAGAGGAAACTGACCCTCTGAAACCTACGCTTTGCCTTCGATTTATAAGGTTGATTTTTCCAGGAGGCCATGTCAAGTTAAACATGTCTAGATACACAACAGTCGGAAAGAAGTTCCTCAACCTTGCTGTTAAGGTTTGTTGCTGAAATATTCCTTTGCTGTCCAACTTTTCAAGCAATCGTGTTCTCGGCGAGTTTCTGTATAAGAATTAAACAAAATTCATCAAGGGTGTGGCGAGCGCCTTGTCAAAACTCGTTCTCTTTCTTTTTTTGTCAGGCCTACGATGAAACAGGAGACGTATTTCCTATCTGGGCCGAGTGTTTGGGATTTGAATTAATTTCACTGATAGTCAGTGGAAGGAACTTAAGGTTTGGTCAATATGACCAGTCGTTTCTCAGCCTCACAGATGCAAGAAACATCAGTTTAAAGTTTGTCTTACCTTCAGGTAACTCAATTGAAAAAAATTAAATTCCAAGGGTCAAACAAGCCAGGAAATATTGTTTTGAAATGCAAGCTAGTGCTCCAGTGGCCTGCTCATAAGATAAGTCTATCATCATGAATGGTCTTAATTTAGTACGTTATCTTCAGTATGCAAATTATGAATTTTTAAGGCCGCGTCATATAAAGTGAATTTTGCGCTGCCCTAAATGATCATTCTAGTTCAACATCGAGTAGCTATCTATGTGGATCAAACTGATTTTAAAGCGTTTTCGAAAACATTCTTTGCTTACTATGTTGTTGAATTTTAAATTGTCATAATCGGTAAGGCCATAAGTTCTTCAAATCGTATTCAAACTAGTAAATAAATGGAGTATGTTTCAGAAGAAACTGAGTTGTCGATATAATTGACCGTTAGCCCTTCGTCAGAGCGACCTTTTTCATGGCTTAGTTTTCACGACTGACTTCAAAGTCGGTCAAATACGAACAAAAGAAATTAATCCGATACTTTGTGTTGCAGGTTATAAGTCAACGAAATTGTTAGGGTCTGCCCCTGATAATATCATAAAGTACATGACACAAAATGATGTCAACTACAACAATCACAACAGAGGTTTGATACCTGAGGTTAGCCGATCACCGTACTCGCCTCGTTCTTTTTTCTGTCCAAACACGCACCAGAGACTTCGGTAAACGCTTTTCCAGAATGCCTAATTTTAAAAGTTGAACAATTGCAATGTTCTTTTCATGAGCAATTATTCTAGAATATTGAAACAAAAACAGAAAAAAAAAAAAAGAAAAAGAAAATAGGAATGTTAGAATTCTCGTTGTTCGTTTACGTAACAAAATTACTTCATATAGCAAAAGATAAAATATATTAAACATTCCCTGAAATTTACCGGGCAAAAGCTATCTTCTCATCCTGCCCGACTAGCTTTGTCTCTTTGATTTCTCTCCCATCGTGCACTGTTGATCAGAGTGACGATATGCGATTTCAGAATAACATATTTCTCCTCACACGAACTTGTTATTTTCACAATTCTCAGGTATTCCATAAAGATCAAAATTTAAGGGAGTTTTTTAAGATAGTCTCCACGAGTAATGACAGAAAAGGAAAGCCGTTTATCGCTACTATGGAAGGTAAATCAGCCGTATTATAATTGTTCGAAATCATTTCTTTTACTTGGGCGGCAGTGAAAGAAAGGCCAGATAATCTGAAACAGTAGTAAATCAGATAGGCAGCAATATTACACTAATTAGTTTTGACTAACAACGATCGCTTTCTTCATTTTCAGCCCGTAAATATCCTATTTACATGTTTCAGTGGCATCCGGGGAAGCCTTTGTTTGAGTGGTCAACAGTGAAAGATATCAGACACACACAGGAGGCTATTCTGATAGCACAATATTTCGCAGATTTCTTTGTAAATCAAGGTAAATTCTTATCTATGTACGGACATTATAGTCATACTTTATTAATAAGACAAATCAACAAGTTAGGAAACCTTCAGCTTGAACCGAAGCATGGTTAGTATCTAAAACCGAATTTAAGGTAGGGTGTTTGCTAACCCTCCCTATCTTTTTTCAAATTCTGACTTTGTCATACAGAATGAAGCAATCAAAGAATTACTCATTAGAATTCGATGCTTAAAGTACATGTATTAATTATTAAACAAATTAGCTAATGAAACTGTCATTGATTTCATCATACTTTAATTCAAAGGAATCTCATTAGAAGGCTGCTCGTGGCTAGCTTCTACCCTTTAAACACTTTAATGGTTTATTTTCAATTTCAACTAAAATTAAAAACTAAAGCGTACTTATGATCCACTTTGTTAATCCACTCCCTACTATCCTGATTTTTACCTAATCCCAGTTGATGAACTACAGTTCTGTGGTACAGAACCGTTGCCAATTTCTTTCTAAGCGGTTCATCCAATATCTAAATCATTATTTTGGTTTCAGCTCGTTTAAGTGACCACCAGTTCCCAAGCACAGAGGAGGAGAAAAAAGCATTGATTTACAACTATGCACCAACATACACTGGAGATGTCGTATCAGTGTTGCAAATGTACTTTTGGTGATTATGAACCTCCTGGAAATGACTGAAGTATGCTGATTGTTTTTAAGCCGAAGACCCTTATGCAGTGTGTTGTCGAGTTTGCGGGTATAGATTATGTGGAAAATAGAAGTTGAGAATTTTGGTCCGCTTGGCGCCATGAACTTTCGAACTGCCTCTTTGATAGCCTGATGTAGCCTTCCATTGTAAATTTGAATGTTTGTTAGACTGCAAGGGAACTAAGTTCATACACTGAGCCCAACTATTTAGTTGTACAGCAGCTAGCTTAGCGTCTGTCTCGAACAGCAAATATACAAACATCAGGAAACAATTGAGCAAAGCACAATATCTATTCCATGAAAGCGTATTTAATAATCGTGTTCATTAAAGAGATTCTAAACAAATCCCCGCATTTTGCTTTTAAAGACTTAAATACCTCAACACTCCAGCATTATGACTCGATCCCGTCGAGCGAAACTAGCAAGATCATGTTTCATTGAAAACTCTAACTGATCATCAAAATAAAGGCTAACACTTTCAGCCTGTGATTTAGAAAAAGAAAAGTTTTTTCTTTTTTTTTTTTTTGTGCCAAAAATAACCATAATGTTTGGTTAAAGGTTCTAGTCAGTTTCGTGCAATAACAACTAATTTTTCCTCAGAACATGTCTTTTGTGATGTAGCACCGAAAAAATGTTGCAAACCTCCGTTTTTCAGTATCAATCAACATCTCACCAGATTTCATATAGTAGTACAATTTTGGGATTCGACCTTATTTTCATGTGAGTGTTGGGATGTTTTTCTGAGTTTCAAGTGTATCTCTATACGTATCTAACCTATCTGTTACTCGATCACTTGACTGGTAAATCCAAGAACCCATAGTTTTGAAAATTCGGTGTGGTCCAGATGTGGAAAGATAGACGAGTAGCCAACGAGGAAGCTATCAGCTCTAGTGTTAAGATTTCTAGCGGTCATTTATAACATTGAATGAACGATGAGTTTAATTAAGCTATGCTGGAAATGAATAGAAATAACTAGAGTATTAGTTGTTTTACGTGGAAAAAGGATTTCTGCGTCGGTGGGGGTAACAAGGTAATTGTGTTATATCAAGTAAGTTGAAGTTGTAAATTGGCCACCGTAATGAATTAAAAAGCTGACGTTTCGAGCGTTAGCCCTTCGTCAGAGCGAAAGGCGAAGGGCTAACCTTCGAAACGTCAGCTTTTTAAACTCTTTACAGTGGCTAATTTACAATTTCAACTTAGTTGATATAACCAAATTACATAAAGTGCCTTGCCGACCGTCGTTACGAAATCTTTAGGCAGTTCCCACCGACAGACAATGCACCAGCGCCATGACTATTAAAGGCAGCTTCATCGGCTTCTTTGTTTTTCTTTCTCTCGTTGTCATGTACGGACTCGATCTCTTTTAGGTTGGGCGAGTACTAGTGCTACGCACGTATCCTTTTATTGATTTTCGGCGGTCAAAAACACAGTTGTGGACAGCGGTCGGACCAACACTCAGGGTCTTAAAATAACTGAGGAGAATGTGCTACCTTTCTATAATATCAATAAATGGATAGATATTCTAGTCTTCTCGGATAAGGACGAATAAACCGTAGGCCCTGTCTCCTGAAGGGTTAGAGGTAGGAGACGTTAATTTCCCACGCACGAGATTACTGTGTGGTGGATGTCGTCCCCTGGGGTGGGGTGGGTGAGTGTGAGGGCCGCAGGTTAGAAAACTGTAATAGGTTATTGCGCATCCCTCCTTAAATAAAGTTAAGTTAAGTTAATTTAAGTTAAGTTAAGTTACGTCTGTTGCACTCGGTCCGTAAGTCATGACCTCGAACGAAAAATTTCCCGTCCGGCCCGACCAAACTCAGTCAATAGGTACATTTATTACACGACTCGGGCCGTCAGAGGGCCAATAACTAAAATCAACCGATCAAAATGCTCTATTTCCGGTCCAATATTCTCTAAGTATTGGACCGGGCACTGTCCCGAATGGTCCCGAATGGTCCCGAATGATACCGCACTTGTGTTCCTTTGAACATCAGTCGTATAATAAATTTCTCATTAACCAAGCTTACTCGGGACCGTACTGGAAGAATATCGGCCCTCGGTATTTTTTGTACGGACCTCGCTGCGCTCGGTCCGTACTGTCAAGACCTCTGGCCGATATTGTCACAGTACGGCCCTCACGCTTGGTTAATGAGATATATATCATTTCTGGACAGTTGTAACGTAAATTACACGACAGAAACCGTAGGAATTCAATACTAAAAAGTCGCATCAAGTCCCTTAGTTAAGTATCTCATCTGACCCAAGTATTTTGCTGGAAGAAAGACAGATTAACACGCACCACTGCAGCAAACAAACGAATTGAATTTACTCACAAGTAAAGCACTCTCAAGTTTGCTTGGAAGTCTTTAAATCGCCTAAACCCCCTTTTTTTTATTTTGCATTGACGCTTCTCTTTTTAATTTGCATTAGCCCAGTTTTCTCTATTATCTACTTGCTCAACTTGAACTGAGTTGTTCAGTTTATATAGGATATCATTCCGTAATTGCGCCTCTGGGTCATTCGGATTCTTCTGGTAAGAAAAATTAAAATTCAATTCGTCATTCTAGGTCGGTCCTACTTAGGAAAAACCGGGCCCGAGGTCTTTAGACCTTGGACACAGTTTTTCTAAGTACGGACCTCCCGCCTGACGAATAACATACATATCTGCCGCGCATTTGAGGCGAAGACAGAATCCAATCTAGAATATTCAAAATAATCCTCCGTTCTCATTCGATAATTTAGGTGAAGATCTTTGCTACTCAGATGTGAAATTCCATGATCTTTAAAGTTGACAATGTTCCCAAAACGGAACCTCTATATGCAATAGAGTCACCGTTAATCTGCTTGGAATCTTGGTACCGCTAAGCATGCAGCCTTTACCGCCGGATACGAATAGCCGTTACATCTTTTATTAGTGTAAATGATCACAGATACAGTTGAGGTAATACATCGTTGTGTGCTTTTTAAGTAATCTCGAAACTAACTTTTTTACAATATAAGGAAATAGTGGACCACCGATCATAGGTAGGTACCTCACAGGAACATAATGGAGGACGTCATTCAGTAAGTTAAGGTGAGACGCTCTACAATGAAGTCTTTCAATCGAACGGAGTAGTTCTTAGGTACAACACGGCCCCCACGATACCAAACCGTATTTGACAGAGGACAAATCACTTTGAAATCAAAATCACGCAAAATGTTTTTAGGCAAAAATCTTGATCACTTTAAAAAGTGAAGTTTAGTTACAAAACTCTTCTTGAAATCCCATACATACGCAGCTAAGGCTAGCTTGTGGTCGACTGTAATACACGGGTTTTCGTTACCCATTTTCGATGGAGTCTCCTAAGAACAAAGGCTGAAAGTTTCCAAAGAAACTGTGGTGCCGTGTCGGTGGGGGTAACAAGGTATTTGGTTATATCTGACGAAGGGCTAACGCTCAAAACGTCAGCTTTTTTATTCGTTACGGTGGCCAATTTACAATTTCAACTTAGTTTATATAACCAAATCTCCTAAGAACAGTTGGTTAGTTGGTCCCATCAGGCCCCCGCTTCAGAGCAAGCATTTTAAAAGCTAAATTTTTCTCATGAGTGTTTCTGTTATACACTTTATGACTCAATCTAATGAGGTTACCATCGCAAGCGTTGCGTAACCGCTGAGTAAGCGTAGGCGTCATATCAACGATAACGAGTCCGATCGAGTCCGATAACGACCGATCATTATTGTTTACATCGATCGACGTAATACTTGGTCCCAGTAAAAGAAATAAAGATGCCAGCTAAAAAGAAAGGTAAAAAGAAGGCAAAAGGAAGTAGCAAAGGTGAAAAAGGAGGGGAAGAAGGTGGAGGAAAGCCTGAACCTACGGGAAAAGAGCAGGAACTGAGAAGAGAGTGAGTAAGCTTTCGCACGCAGTCCCAGCGATATAAGCTTAAATTTAAATTTTTAAACTATTTTGTATGGAAAAAGTGTTAAAGTAATGCATAAGGCGTTGTTAACTTAATATTATCTTGTACAGTATTAAGGTGGCTGAAAACAGTTTTTGATACCTTTGTTTCTCTCAGCATTTTCTCTGAAACCCTTGATCTCTCGGTCGCCAAAACTGGCAGCAAGCAAGTTAACAACACAAACTTTGTTTTTTTGATAGTTAAACTGACGTATACATTTGCCATTGCCATGGCGACATGAAGAGATATAAACAGGCAATTAAAATCGGTTTTGTTTCTTAATTTGTAGAAAATCTAGTCATTAGGTTTTCTTTATAATTTGCATGCAGTGAGCTTGTAACAATACAAGTTAACACTGTTTTGCTAACAATTTAACAGAGATCTTTAATTATCCCTTGTTGAAGGTTTACTTGATTTTCTAGAATTTCCTTTGTTTAAAATCAATTTTTTTCAAGACTCCAGTTACTTATTTCCTAAAGTATTTTCATGCCAAATTTCATGAAATTCTGATGAGTGGTTCTCAAGAAATAGCCATATTTCCGAGAAAGCAATTTTCCATTCAATGACAATTTTTTTACTTACTACGCATGTACTGCATTTAACTGGGTTCTTTCAGTAACAACGAAAAAGCTGAGAATTTCTGGGTTCTTTGCACTGTTAACTTTTCTCACAATATCTTTGTAATAAAAGATTAAAGCCTTCAATACACTGCACCAACTGTAGAGAAAAATATAGCACATATAGTTCGGGTACGTGTTGAGTAAATAAAAATAATGACCACTCTATTGATGGCATGTTTGTTTTTTGCAATCCCTGTGTGCGCGCTGAATTGTATCAGCAAAAGCGCGTGCAAAAACTGTGTTCAGCCACCTTAAGCGTCTATAATGAAATGTAATGAATGCAAGAAGTAGATGATGGATAAAAGGTTGTGCTGCAAATATGCAGTGGTTCTCATGACAAAGCGAAGATATCCATCATCCTGTGATATAATTCAATTTTGTGTAAACTGGGTCAACTAATAATGATTTCTTAATTTATAGACTGGAAGTTTTAACAGAAAAATTATCAAATCTAAAGCGAGAGGTTGAAGAACTGTATCTTTTCAGAGGGCCAAGGTTTTCCTGTTATGATAAGGTAGCTTAATATTTTATTTATGGTTATTCACCACCCATTAACATGATACTGCTGTGCATGAATCTGCATTCAAAATTTGATGCATTACACCAGGATATATTGAGTTTTCATCCGTTTTTGCAATAGAGTCCTTTTGTGTGAAACAGTCAAAAATCATTTTACTTGTGGAATGCACCTTGTTTTATTTGAACTGCAATAATTATACTTTCCTGAAAACTAACAGTTTGTTGCTGTGGAAGGTCAGTGACACTTTCATTCATTTGATAACTAAAATTCAAAAATCTTTCTTTGTAAGAAGATTCACTAAATTGATCTAACACAACTATTTGAAGTTAGCAATGTTACTGGTATTCTTAGAAAAGGAGACTGATATTTTTTGTTGTTTGACTAGTTCTTTTTACTGACTTCAACATGTTAACACTTAAGCCTGTACGATATGAATTCCTAGGCATTACAAGGACTGTTTAGACTGAAGGAAACTATGCCTGAAAGCTGTTGACTCCCATGAATTTAACCCCATCTGCAATTCTAATGTTTAAATCAGAAACAGTTTGCCATACTTGTCTAGAATTTACAAAGGGCTTATAGTAGAATTTTTAGGGGTTTCAGATCTGAAGATAAGGGCCCTTAATAGCTATTCTGTAGCTGATCCATACCATTCTATCTTGGTACTGTGTCTCAATCTTGCCTCTAAATTAGAATGGGTCGAGAACTTGGGAATCGTTCAAGAAACTTAAAAACACTAGAAAAATGAAATTTCTTAACACTTAAAACAGAAGAAAGGAAAATGAATGGCTTCAGGAAGAGGCTCAACAAACTCGACTAGAAAGTGTGAGTACAATTTTTGTGATTCTTAAAAATGATCCTCAGACAAAAGCACATTGTAAACATGTGAAGGTTGTTCAGACATAAGAAAGTTGTTAAGACATAAGGTGTGTCTGAACTTATTGAATACAAGGAAACAGAATTTGTACCAGTAAGTCCTAACATTTTCAGAGATTGAATACTTATTGTTGATGTGGATCATTAATGAGTTCTGTTTTACTGAAACCTACTGGTTTGGTCTCTGTAATTATCAGTGCTTTCAGTAAGATTTGAAATAGGTGGCTACCTCGGTACAACATCCGCCGGAGAGTGACTTGATTGCGACTTAGCGTGGCGACTGCAACTTGAGCGCGGTGAAATATACCCGGCGACTCGCAACAGAATAGCCGCCGAAGCTCCGGCGGGTGCCAGGTCTTATTGAAAGCACTGAATTATATTTCTAACTAACAACTAAAATAAAACTTTTTTAAATGTAAAGCACGAGTACATGTCCTACATGGCTAAAAAGACACAGAAGAGACAAACAACAATAATATCACTAAGTGACAGCAATCAGCAAGAATTGGAGAACATCAAACAGCAGAGAGAGCAGATGTTAAATGAATATCAGGAGAAGAAACAAGGTACAATATTCTATTGAGAGTCTGCATGCTTCAATGATATAGTGTCAGTGACTGTTTTGATCATCTTAGAAGGAGTCATTATCAGATTGAGTAAACCTGTTTGTAAGTTGAAATTACACCTCCAGAAAGTACCGGTACATACACTGTACATGCTGTATGAAGCTTAATGAAACTGAACACTCAGGCAGCTTTATTGTAGCTATTGTAACATGTACTGGTAGTGTAGGTAAGATAAACCCAGGGCCCAGTTGTATAAAGGGTGGATTATGCTATCCGAGGGATAAATCGCCATGCAGTGGATAATTGATAGAAAAACGTACTGTGCTATCCACTGGACAAATCTCTGTGCAGTGGATAGCACTATCTCATCTTTGAACAACCAAGCCAGATACGCATGATATGTACATGTACGTAGTTATGTCCCCCCTTTCAATGACCTAAATAAAGTGTTTTTTGATCAGGCATGAGCTGACAGGGTCTCCATCAATGTACTTATTACACCTTGTTACATAAGTTGCCAGAGATAGTTTTTGAACTAATTTTATGATGCAATTTGTTATTATTATACAAATTTATGTTTTCAGATGATTTCTGATAACTTGAGGCCTATACCCTTTTCTTGTCAATTTTTTGTAACTGGATACCTGATTCTTGATCAGAGTCACACAGGAGTGCCAATGAATGCATGCAGGGGGGAATGTTCCTGGGGAAAATGATTAAGTAGAGAGTGACTTGTAGAGTGACAACTTTGAGCGAGTTTCTTTTCACAGCTTTGAAGCAACTTATGCTTGAGAAAGAGGCTGAGCTTGCCCTGACAAATAACGAGCTGGCTGAATTGGAAGAGTATCAGGTAATAGTCTGTTTGACAGTGTAGATTAAATCACTACAGTCACATGCAGTAACTTAAAACTAATTGCTACTTATGGTTCAGTATCATTATGCATTGAAAAAAATGCTTCAGTATAATTGCTTAGGTGCTTATGGAAATGCGTATTCTCTGATTGGTCCAGGATTGTGTCATTTCTTGCTATAGTCACCTCACACATGGTGATTATAGCAGTGGCACTAAATTTCAAAATAGCTGTTTTGTGTTTTGTCAAGGTTTCCAAAAAAGTGATTAATGCAAAAAAAGAAAATTCAATTGCAAAGAGCAGAAAAGATGCTATTGAGTTTGGCAGAGCACATATTTTTCAAAAGAAAGTATAATTATGAAGTTTTGCTGACTGAATTAAATAAACCTGTTAAAACTTCTTGCTCATCTTGACACGGGTAAACTAAACAATCATAACAAAATATGTGCCATGCTTTTATTATTTTCAAACTCTACAACAGAATCTGAAAGCACCTGAGCAATTATACTAAAAAAAACAGTTTTTTGTCATAACTGTTAAGAGATAAAACAATAGAGTTTACATATTTATGTTTGTGGACATAATTAGGTTTTGGGCCCCATTCTGTCTGATTCACATGCAAGCATTAAAATTACTCAGAGAAAAGCCCAAAATATGTTCACAGTATGAAAATAAACTGTATCGCTATTAGCATCACTTTGGGGGGCATTGAGAAAATAAAAAAAAAGAAATTGACAACAAAACAGTCTCAACAGTGATGCCAGGGTGCGATACATTTTAGTGATATTAATTGGGCTGCTCCCACCCTGCTCTACATTACTTTGTAACACTTTGGGAATGACTGTTTTGGGGCAATGTTAGCAAAGGATTGTGTATTTTCTTGTGAGCAGTTAGATGAACTGTGTCTTAGCTCCAGCTTTGCCATGCATCACTTTTGTTTGATCATATCTTCTCTTGTTGAGGTGATCTCTAGAGCATTTGGTTTTTTTTGTTAGTCCTTTGTTATGCTGTAATGTTTTAAAGAGAAGTCTATATCTTTTTCTTCTGACCAAACTCAAATTCTGCAACACAGAAAAATTATCTCTCTATATCCCAATTGATCAACAAATTTTGTATTTATATGAAGACTCTTCAGCGTGATCAAAAGGTAGAGATTGCACATCTGGAGGAGGAAGTTCACAAGATGAGAGGAAAACACTCAGAAGCAATACAAAAGCTTAAATCACAGTTTTTACGAGAGAAAAGAAACTATCAAAGGGAATCGGATGACAAGATTCAAGAAATGGCTCAACAAGCCTCACAGGTTAGCAAGCCACAACAAATATACCATGATTGCTACTTTATAAGGATTTTTTTTTTCCTTTTTAGACTTTCAGGCTGGTTTTATCTGATGGTGAAATTGGATGTGGTACCAACCGATTTACTCAAAAGTGATCCTTCAAATAACGGAGCACAACTTAAGTAAAAAATTCAGAATTTGAACCTAGGGTTGACTGGTTGTCAACAAAAATGAGTTTGCCATTTTAACTTAAAATGTTATCACTGGAACTTAAATTCTATTGAACAAGCTATGATGCCTTAAATTTACATGCAACCTTAAGCATGCTGTTGCACTCTTTGAAGTCCAAGCTGTAAAGAATGGACAAAAATCTGACTTGATGATAGATTCCGTAAGTCATCAGAATTTGTACATCCAATTGGATTAATTCCAGGACATCACTTCCTGGATCGATCATTTAATATTTTGTCTATTTTTTTATAATGTTTAGGAGGCAAAACAGTGTTTGGATGAGCACACGCACAAGATAAAAGATGAAAACCGGCTGTTGCGTAAAGAACTGTTACAACTGATAAGAAGAACTCGGGCCCTCCATGAACATCGCCAAGAACTTGAAGAACAACATAAAACACTTTTGCATGAAGTGCAATACAGTAGAGACCTGAAGAAACTCAGGGGCTCAAGGCAGAACAGGCTTCATCAAAACTTTGGAATAAGTAAAGAACAGAGTCAACAGTAAAAACGTTTTTGACCAAAAAAAACTGGGACCAATTAGAAAACAAGTTGAGAACATGAAACCTTATTTATTCTCACGATAAAATGTTTTTAAAGTTTGTTTGGAGATGTAGTGACCATTTATGGAAAATGTTCTTGTAGAAACAATAATCTTAGAAAATCATTTAACAAATTTTGCTGAAAATGTTACTTCCTCAATTAAAGAAATACAGATTTTTTTTCTCGTGGTAATCCTAATGGACTTAGGTACTTGTATTGCTTAACAGTCATGAAGAATCATTCAAAGTTTGTAGATTGTAAGAAAGCTTGTTAGATTTGTCAGCAGATAGGTGAAACACTCAATGAGCCTTAGTTGACAAAAAATGATAATTGAACTATGTGGAATGCAATTTGGTCTGAAAATAATTAATTATACATATTATACAAATTATTCAAGCATGATTTCATATAAAACTTGCTTGACACAAAGCAACTTTAACATTTAAATTAAATATGAAGTACAGTCAAAGCTTTAGTTTTTCCTCTTATTCCTGGATATATAATACCATCATTGGTTACCGAATATTGGTAATAGTAATCAAAGTTTAATGTCTTTACATGGAGCATGGTTACCCATATTGCCCCAGCCAGAGGCTCATGTATGAAATGCAACGACTGCGACCGTCTGGAACTAGTCTTGTAAGACAATGTCCCCAGGGGCTCTTCATGCCCTAACTTGAAATCGACCGACAGCCCCTGGGTCTCCGAGGATGACGCTTACCATATCGTAGTTTATGGTATATTGGCTTATATACAATAATGGCTAAGCCAATGAAAAGTCTTGAAATGCATTATCCAATGATCCAGTTTTTAATAAATCCGATTATTAAAAACTGGATCATTGGATAATGCAATTCAAGACTTTTTATTTGCTTAGTCATTTTGGTATATCAGCCAATATACCTTAATCTGATATCTGTACACTGTAACATCCGGTTTCTTCCTACAAAATAAAGTCGAGAAGATTTGCCTAATATCTTGGGGGGCGTTTTTCTTAAATAAAACAATTATTCCACTTGCGTTTGTTGGATATGACATGACTATAGCCAATTCGGCGCTACGCGCCTCGTTGGCTATCTATCATCTCATGTCCAACGCGCGCTCGTGGAGTAATTGTTAATTATTAAAAACTGGATCATTGGATAAAGCAATTCAAGACTTTTTATTGGCTTAGCCATCATGGTATATCAGCCAATATACCCTAATCTACAAATATAGTAAGCGTACGCGTCAGCTTAAAATCAAAAGGGAGCTAAAAAATCCGGTTTTTTCTTACAAACTAATAATTTCTTGGGGGCGTTTTTAATAAAACAATTATTCCACTCGCGCTTGTTGGATATGAGATAATTATAACCAACTCGGCGCAACCTCGTTCCCAGGGCTTTTCCCTTTTTGAATATTTTGGCGGGCGGCTAAAATATTAAAAAAGGGAAAAGCCCTGGGAACGAGGTTGAACTCGGCGCTACGCGCCTCGTTGGCTATCCATCATCTCCTATCCAACAAGCGCGAGTGGAATAATTTTTAGTTATTAAAAACTGGATTTATGGTATGTGAGGCAATATACCATAATCTACAAATATGGTAAGCATACTAAAAAATTTAATAAAATTTAATAATTTAATTTAACGTTTTCAATAAAACAATTATTCCACTCGCGCTTGTTGGCAACCTCGTTCCCAGGGCCTTTTCCCTCAGCAACTTTTTTCCTTTTGCGTTCAGTCACAAAACGCAGTTCCAGTACAGTGCACGCGTGAAGTGTACGCGCATGCGTAGAATGAACTCTAGAGCTCATGGTTTAAAGCAATGATCGTGGACAATCCTTACTTGATGTACGCAAAAGTAATTCGATGGCTATTACGCTCAATATACTTAGGAAGTCACACATCATTATCGGTAGACCCACACTAAAACTTGTGGAGCGTTTTGGGAACGGGTCGGTCAGCGAACTTTACGAGAGATCAATTTACGAGCGATCCTTTACGAATGAACCTTCTATCGAGGAATATCAAGGGATGTGTCGAAAACGAAGACCCAAAAACGAAGATCTAAGACCTAAGACCCACTGGTTTAAAACGAAGACCCGCTGGTCTAAAACGGAGACCTTGTGGTCTAAAACGAAGACCCACTGGTCTAAAACGAAGACCCACTGGTCTTAAACGAAGACCCATTGTTCTAAAAACCTTTTTTTGAAGGAAAGACTAGACACTATGCTGAACTGCTCTCATTTCTGTAGCGTATAAATTAAAATGTCATCTGAGCGCGCGACCAACTTGACAGTTACGTTATCTCAGTCGGTACAACACATGTCAAATTATCTCACGCCAGTTTTCAAGTTTGGTGTATGACATTTTTTACCTACCTTATAATGGGAATATAACGAAGCATGTTCATAACGCGAACAAAATTTACGCGTCATAAAATTAACGGGAATTTTCGAAAAGTTATGTCTACATACATTTAATTAACGCGAATTTCCGTACGGTATGTTGCATAATTAAGACGTGAATTTAATATTTTTCGCACTCATTTCGTTAGAAAACAACAACGGCCAACAACAAAATTTGCTCTTTATTTCCGGCAAAAAACATAACATACTAAGGCATGAATGGATCCAGGGTTGGAATGCGCCACTTCCTGGCGCTTTCTACTGCCTCCGTTATTCCTGCAGCTTTCCATCCATTCAAGAGGACTTTCCTCCCCTTTTCACCTTGCAGGAATTCATATATACTCATAAGTAGCTGGGCATGGATTGGCTTCAGTGTTGAAAGCTTCAGGTCCACCTCGATTGTGGAGACATCTCTTTGCGGGTCTTTCTCCAATGTTTCAGTGATAGTGGATGTAAAATAGTCACTGAAACCACGCTTCTCCATCTTCTTGACAGATCCGTTTGTTGTTAGATCCAAAGACTGCAACAGATGAATCATATTCTTTGGTACTGCGACAACGTTTATGTTCTGCCTTTCCAGCTCGCTCAAGACTTTATCTGTACTTTGTGCCTTGATACTAGCAATGCCTTTTGAGTTTCAGGGAGGCCTAACTCTTCTTTGACTCTAGTGACATACGGGTAAATTATTTTATTTACCAGAGCCATTGTTTCGGCTTCGTTACTCCAGTGCTTTTCATTGTAACTCAAACAGAACCCGGCTGGAAATTCGACATGCGGCAGTGAACGGCTTGTCTTACCAGTGTAAATGAGTTGGAATGGTAACATTTGTCCACTTAACGTTTCCGCCAAAGTAACAGTATATTCCACGTTTGTCACTACTCCCTTTTCTGGATACATGCTCAGAACTCTTCTCTGCCATCGTGACGTTATCCGTCGGTACGAACTTAGACGGTGTTTGGTCAACATTTAGAATAACTTAAGTTCATCGGGAATTTCATCTTCAACTATACCGGACACTATATCATGTAGAAACGTTGCCTTTACTTCAAGCCAAGTTGCTTTGGTGATAGCAGGCCTTGACGCAGTTACAATCCTTCGAGTCAAGTTCATTCTCTGGTACAGGGACTTTAACCAACCTTTGGTAATTACAAAATTTAAATACTGACCATATCTTCCGAGATCACTCTTAATGAGACCCATCAAAATGCCATAAATAACATGCTTGTTGATAGTCCTTCCTGCAGTCCTTGTGCTGACAATGAACGCTCGGAGCTTTCTGTCAAGCTCATCAGGCAGCAGTAAGGGTCTCCCTCTTCTCTCAGAGATTTGAATACAGTCACTCGAACTCGTCTTTTTCGCTTCAAGTCGATACTTCGCCACCCAGGGTCGTAGAGTGCAGTCAGGTTTGAGAAGTCTTGTCTAAAATGTTTTATAGCGTTTACGGTC